CTATGATAGATTAATGAGCCAAAAACCTACCCAATTCAACCCGTGCATAGTGTGCCTTCATCAACGATTTATTGGAAACGACTGGACTGAAGAGCACTATCTGATCTTTCCACACTTCCGCTCTGTCCTCTGAACCTGAAAAATCCTCTGCTCCACATTCAACCTATCATGAGTGAGTTCGGGTTCAAAACAGATTGTCCGTCTTGTGTAGACTCGATTATTTTGAAACGATTATTTCGAAATAGCGCAAAGTATCTCTACGCCAGCGGGCTGGGCTAAGGAGTAGCGTCAATTGTATGTAGTACTCAAGGCATGTGTTTATAACTGAGAGCCGCGTCCTCGACGCATACCCAAAATTTTAGCGTAAAGTGATAGTATCTGGTTGTAGTTATTCGCGCACTTAAGATCTCACTACATGACCACAATTTTATTGGAAGATGTTTAAACTAACTGGGACTCCAATGCGAACACGGAGTTCGTGTTTAAATGGCTGTCGGCGGCTTCGCACACTGTCTCAATGAAAACCGTGGGAAATTTTGTGGAAAAGCCGGTTTGTTCACGTGTTTTCTTACGTATCAGATTTGGGAATAATCTCAAAACGAATTAGACAATAATCACGCCCGCACAAACTCAAATTTAAGAGGCTCTTCACTACCTGGACATGAAAAATTCTTCTATGTTTGCGGCAAGCATCCTACCGAAGCCCAAGAATTCGTCGCAGCTAGTAAGTTTTTTTAGGATGGTCAGCCTACGTTATATATGGCTAAATACAAGGTTTGATCTTCACCGATATACCGAGCGACCAATAAAGTCGTTGGATGAACTATAAAGTTTGTAGGCAGAACAAACAGACACCACAATATGATGGCCACTGCTTTCAAGTCCTTGCACAAAATAAACTGTCTGAAATGGTCTTCTGGGCAAAACGCTCGTCTGGGAATTATTAGGGATAAAGTTAACTAAGGGCAAGCCACCAGGCTGGGTATGGTGGATTCGGTGCTATTAGCGCGACGTCGTACTCCGGCTCGTGGACAACCCAGTGCGTGAGCATCTTGGATGAGCCGTTTTTGGTTGTCATCGTAGTTAGTCCGTTGAGGGTTCACGGTGGTCCATTGCTGCTATTTAAACGGAGTAATAAGACAGCCATGCCCACATTGGGGACCCAGACAAGAAAAAGTATCCAAAAGATTTGCTAGAAGGGACTTTGGTGCGAGACCGAATTCCTCCCGGAAAACGCCAGTCAAAAGTTGCCACAATTCCTAACTTCTTGAATGAGGTGACGCTGTCTGATTTCAAAAACGGCAATCAATAATCACCCACAGATCATAGGTATCCGTTTGGTGCTAACTGGATTTGGCATACGTGATTACGAGGAAACTCCACTGGCTAGGTTGTGCGCAACTAAATTAACTTGGAACGTACAGAGACATGAGATCAAGGTATCTGGAGCTGTTGCGTGTTTGTACGGTGAGTTATCTTTCAGAATGGAGCCTAAGGAAGAGCATGGAGATTTGCAAGTTGTATTATTTGTATTGGTTTGATTTTCGCCGGTTGGATTGCTGGGGTGGTTGAGTATGTGAGCTGTCGATTTCATTAATCTACATTGTATCGGAATCACAGAGCAGAAATCTAGTGAACTTGGGATTCAGGGCACTAAACTAGCGGGTTAGGCACCAAGAACCTGCCCACGCACTGGATATTCGCTACGGCTGCATCCATGGATGTGGCCCTTGGATCTTAAGGCTCAAGTCAACACCACAAGGTCTTACGGCTGACAAATATACACTCTTCTTTATCTTTAACTTCACTGTGTCCAATGATGCCTATGGTTGCCGAATCCTTCTAACGAATCATCGGTGTGCATATGGCTCCCTTGTTCTCACCAGTTGGATTAATTGATCAAGTAGTGAGTTCGTCTTTATATCGTAAGTCTCCATTTTCGGCGGGGACACCGACCTAGGATGGTGAACAAAGGGAATTTTAAGCACTTGGTGAGTTAGTCACTGCAACGTTGTTTAATTATTTGTTTTGAATGATATCGCGGAAGATGTGTACGACTCGTAATTGATTATACATTTTTTCAGAAACCATGTCGGGTGAAAACTCAGAAGTGGATTGACCACACTTTATGCCTGTACCGATGCAACCAATGAAGGGAGACATAATTTGTCCAAAGTGGTTTCGTAAAATTTTATTCACAGGTTTGTCAGGTAGACGACGCATGGATATGAAGGATCGCCGTTAGTCGGTAGATTAATATACTATGCATAGTAGAGGCATTATAGTCAGCTACGGGCATGTGCACGTGCCCTGTGGCTATTATAAGTAGCTTTGGCAGGTGACATTGAGTGCAGTTATGAATATGACGATCCATCGTTGACCGTTGGACTGGGCAGAGTTGAGGCCTCATGCTCAGCCCTGCACATGGACACAGGCCTAGCAATTACAAAAAGTGTTATCGCTCTGCCAGAACCCAGAAATTAGTTATACGAACGAGAAAACGGGGAGCACTAACAATATCAGCTTGTTAAGTAAAATTATTACAACAGGTATATATGCCAAAAGGGACTTATCGTATTGCAGGTACAGATTGACAAATCCTGCTGCATATTTGTCGTGCATGTTAAATTTGTATGGGACTAACTAACGAGAAATTTTTTACGAAGTTGTGTTAGTAGCATCAGCCGAACTAAACAGGACAATGCAGAAATGTTAGCCTCGATAAAAAGAGCTGACAGTAAATCAGTGACGAACCTATATGTGGGACATAATGCTGGCAATGTGGATAAAACTTGCAAGACAGTACCTTCTTTTGATTTCATAACGATATGGTTCTAGCCACGGATCTAACTTCATCAAATTGTCCAACTCAGGAACATTCACTGCATTTATCTCCTCTGGCTTGTAGAACATACTGACGAGAGAAACCTCGCGATGTCGGCTGCGAGCGCAAGCGGACAACAACAGGAGATGCAAAATTTAGCGTTCTGATTGGTTAATAGGCCCAGCACGTGTCCTGACGACGCATTCATCAAGTATTTCGCAGCATCAGAAGTGAATGAATCCATTTCCCCACTAGAAAGTTTTCCCTTTATTGCATGTGTAGCGCCCACGGATATAGCATGGAAAATGTGGAACTAAGTGGAGCCTCGGAAAATTTCAATACACCATGAGAAAAGCAAATGTAAAGTCGCGGGCACATTGAATGAATATTCAAAATTATTATTATGCACATTATTGAAACAAGATATTTAGCCAATACAAATAGGCTGAATTATCTGACTACTTGATTTAATGTTCAAATGTACTATGATAGATTAATGAGCCAAAAACCTACCCAATTCAACCCGTGCATAGTGTGCCTTCATCAACGATTTATTGGAAACGACTGGACTGAAGAGCACTATCTGATCTTTCCACACTTCCGCTCTGTCCTCTGAACCTGAAAAATCCTCTGCTCCACATTCAACCTATCATGAGTGAGTTCGGGTTCAAAACAGATTGTCCGTCTTGTGTAGACTCGATTATTTTGAAACGATTATTTCGAAATAGCGCAAAGTATCTCTACGCCAGCGGGCTGGGCTAAGGAGTAGCGTCAATTGTATGTAGTACTCAAGGCATGTGTTTATAACTGAGAGCCGCGTCCTCGACGCATACCCAAAATTTTAGCGTAAAGTGATAGTATCTGGTTGTAGTTATTCGCGCACTTAAGATCTCACTACATGACCACAATTTTATTGGAAGATGTTTAAACTAACTGGGACTCCAATGCGAACACGGAGTTCGTGTTTAAATGGCTGTCGGCGGCTTCGCACACTGTCTCAATGAAAACCGTGGGAAATTTTGTGGAAAAGCCGGTTTGTTCACGTGTTTTCTTACGTATCAGATTTGGGAATAATCTCAAAACGAATTAGACAATAATCACGCCCGCACAAACTCAAATTTAAGAGGCTCTTCACTACCTGGACATGAAAAATTCTTCTATGTTTGCGGCAAGCATCCTACCGAAGCCCAAGAATTCGTCGCAGCTAGTAAGTTTTTTTAGGATGGTCAGCCTACGTTATATATGGCTAAATACAAGGTTTGATCTTCACCGATATACCGAGCGACCAATAAAGTCGTTGGATGAACTATAAAGTTTGTAGGCAGAACAAACAGACACCACAATATGATGGCCACTGCTTTCAAGTCCTTGCACAAAATAAACTGTCTGAAATGGTCTTCTGGGCAAAACGCTCGTCTGGGAATTATTAGGGATAAAGTTAACTAAGGGCAAGCCACCAGGCTGGGTATGGTGGATTCGGTGCTATTAGCGCGACGTCGTACTCCGGCTCGTGGACAACCCAGTGCGTGAGCATCTTGGATGAGCCGTTTTTGGTTGTCATCGTAGTTAGTCCGTTGAGGGTTCACGGTGGTCCATTGCTGCTATTTAAACGGAGTAATAAGACAGCCATGCCCACATTGGGGACCCAGACAAGAAAAAGTATCCAAAAGATTTGCTAGAAGGGACTTTGGTGCGAGACCGAATTCCTCCCGGAAAACGCCAGTCAAAAGTTGCCACAATTCCTAACTTCTTGAATGAGGTGACGCTGTCTGATTTCAAAAACGGCAATCAATAATCACCCACAGATCATAGGTATCCGTTTGGTGCTAACTGGATTTGGCATACGTGATTACGAGGAAACTCCACTGGCTAGGTTGTGCGCAACTAAATTAACTTGGAACGTACAGAGACATGAGATCAAGGTATCTGGAGCTGTTGCGTGTTTGTACGGTGAGTTATCTTTCAGAATGGAGCCTAAGGAAGAGCATGGAGATTTGCAAGTTGTATTATTTGTATTGGTTTGATTTTCGCCGGTTGGATTGCTGGGGTGGTTGAGTATGTGAGCTGTCGATTTCATTAATCTACATTGTATCGGAATCACAGAGCAGAAATCTAGTGAACTTGGGATTCAGGGCACTAAACTAGCGGGTTAGGCACCAAGAACCTGCCCACGCACTGGATATTCGCTACGGCTGCATCCATGGATGTGGCCCTTGGATCTTAAGGCTCAAGTCAACACCACAAGGTCTTACGGCTGACAAATATACACTCTTCTTTATCTTTAACTTCACTGTGTCCAATGATGCCTATGGTTGCCGAATCCTTCTAACGAATCATCGGTGTGCATATGGCTCCCTTGTTCTCACCAGTTGGATTAATTGATCAAGTAGTGAGTTCGTCTTTATATCGTAAGTCTCCATTTTCGGCGGGGACACCGACCTAGGATGGTGAACAAAGGGAATTTTAAGCACTTGGTGAGTTAGTCACTGCAACGTTGTTTAATTATTTGTTTTGAATGATATCGCGGAAGATGTGTACGACTCGTAATTGATTATACATTTTTTCAGAAACCATGTCGGGTGAAAACTCAGAAGTGGATTGACCACACTTTATGCCTGTACCGATGCAACCAATGAAGGGAGACATAATTTGTCCAAAGTGGTTTCGTAAAATTTTATTCACAGGTTTGTCAGGTAGACGACGCATGGATATGAAGGATCGCCGTTAGTCGGTAGATTAATATACTATGCATAGTAGAGGCATTATAGTCAGCTACGGGCAGGTGCACGTGCCCGGTGGCTATTATAAGTAGCTTTGGCAGGTGACATTGAGTGCAGTTATGAATATGACGATCCATCGTTGACCGTTGGACTGGGCAGAGTTGAGGCCTCATGCTCAGCCCTGCACATGGACACAGGCCTAGCAATTACAAAAAGTGTTATCGCTCTGCCAGAACCCAGAAATTAGTTATACGAACGAGAAAACGGGGAGCACTAACAATATCAGCTTGTTAAGTAAAATTATTACAACAGGTATATATGCCAAAAGGGACTTATCGTATTGCAGGTACAGATTGACAAATCCTGCTGTATGTCCGGATACAGGTTTCGTGTATTCCTTGCTGTTGTGGCAGTCACACGTATTTCCTGACTATCCGTGAGTGAAGCGCCGTAAGTCCTGAGCGGCTCTGCTCCGAGTTGGACGACGTGGGTAGCCCTGTTGAGTTGTGTTGCCGTGCTCTTATCCTATGCGTAAAAACGTTTGCGTGTGTGTGGGGTCAGCACATGACTTGTTGCTACCTTATCAGTCGGCAAAGGGTCGATGTCAGATGAGTCATCTTCGTGTGTCGTGAGTTGTACGTGTAGGGAAAAAGGCAAGTTTTGTGATAAAGGNCAAGAGAGTTCACGATTCTTGGCGTGATTTGTGAGTGTAATAAAAACAGATCCCGTGATCTGGCGAGTGGCGCTGAGCTGTACAGTCATGTATGTGGCGAAAAGGGTGGCTAAAAACGGCCAAGTTAGGCTATATCGACGAGCCATGGTTGGCCGTTAGATTAGTATATCAAGCAAAGTTGTTGCCTCAGCTTTTGACCCACATATTTACTGGCATGATTTTCACCGAAGATAGCAGGCATAAGCGTAAACGCGCATGGGTATGATGGGCCATTGTTGGCAGTTACATTAGGACACTGCGCGTAGTTGAAGCTTAATAATGAGCGTCGCATCTAGGCGCTGTCCCAGCAATTCTACAAAGTAGCCTACGTAGGCGACACCGCGTGTAGTTATAGTATGAGGTCCGTCGTTCGTCGTTAGATGAGGTTTTTCAGAACAGTTTGAGTATTGTATTCATCAGTCCACATGAATACTGGCCTGGTGTTTATCATAAGTATCAGGGGTGGGCGACAACGCGAATGGTTACGAGTATGACAGATTATGTTCGATGAGGTTACCAGTTAATCAATGCCGCACATGGACATGGACCCAGCAGCAAGATAAGTATCCAAGTAAGGCTACATCGAATACAGCAATGAGTAAGTCAGATTAATTTCTCACGTACAATTGAGGCCTTATTTTTACCGGTTTTCATTGATGCTTACCTGGTATTTACTATAGGTAGCAAAGATAAGCGACACAGCATATAGTTATGGGCATGAAAGACTGTCGTTAGCAACGGGATAAGGATACTATACACAGGTGAGGTCACATAATCAGCGTCGCGCACAGACGCGGGCCTAGCAGTTACAATAAGTGATCTAGATGAGTGACAAGGCGTGAAATTGTGAGTATAAGAGGCCGTGGTTGGTCATTATATTAGGGCAACTTGCAAAGGTGAGGAGAGTCGCACATAGACACGGACCAGGCAGTTACGATGATTAGCCGAGGGGAATGACAACGGCTACGTTACCATGGCGACCAATCAGTAGCTGTCGCCACCTAAAGAACGTCATATTCATAATAAGAATGATACATGCAGCTATCTTGTCACATTGTATTATTTACAGACTAGTTATTCATATCTGGGAAACAGGATCATCCACAGAGAGGGCCTTGCGTTGCTACTGCACAGCTGATGCTGTTGCCTTGGAATTTGAGATCCACGGAAAAGTGCGTTGTTAACAGGTTCGCCGAATAAAATATATTTTGCGGTTCATCCGCAGTTCTTAGATCTGAGGACTGTAAATTAAACAAACGTGTCGTATAAACCGGTAAGAAAATTCGAATCGACGATGGCCCGTGCCCTTACAATTTCGATCACTTAAACAAGATGCTACAAGCAACATGTCACTGGAAGGTGCAAATGGATTGGACACAACTTCGAAAACCCTATAGTTTCGGCCAAAATAATTTTGTTGTGCTTTTAGTCAGCGGCGCAAATTTCGGTAAAATAAATCAGATTACGTTGACGAAATAGGCGCTCAGTATTCGCACAGTGGAATAGAAATTCTGAAAGCTATGACGTGTCCCTGATAGACTAAATCATTTGAGCGATTGAGTTCAGAGTACCATTCCAAACTTTTGAGCCCCATTTGGGCATCTCGGAGTGTCAGCAATGCTGGGAAATTATTTCGCTAGACTTTTATTGCCAGAGGTAAGATTGCTTCATTGGACGGCGAAATTTGGTGAGCTGAAAAAATATGAATGTAGATTAGGATGGCTTTTGGTTTGGGTACATATGCAACAAGATGCAACATTCCGGAGCAAAAGTTCAGCTCAACTTCTGAGGGCTTTGCACTCAAGAGCATTGTGCGAGTAATGAGCATCGACGGGATATATACAGAGAAATGTATCATTTTAACGCAATTTTTTCGCCACTTTATTGTTTCGGAGATGAATGCATCAAGCGGATAGTGATCAGTATGGCCTCAGATGTGTTTGCTGGGTAATTTAAAGCAAATGAGTGGGCTTTAAATAAATATATGGGGAGCAATTCTAAGGCATTTTGTTTGTTTGCTAATGACAAACACTGAACGAAACATCGGTTGCCCAGCCCGGTTCTATCTAAGGGGGCAAGGAAACCATCCATCATTCACCTCTTTTAATCCCAAAAATGTCCACAAGGTGACTAACGTTTTGTACGACCGACTATCTTCCAACCGACTGCTTACCGAAAGAGAGCTGGACACCTACAGGGTAGCTTAAAATAGGGCAGCCTTGTCATGCACAGCAGTTCTGAGCCGGCGGATTCGGTGAGATACTTTCCTCTCATGAGACCTACAAGTATGATAGGAATTGTCCACATGCTCTTTTAAGTATACGACGGATAGTTGGGCTTCATTGCAGCATATGATGAATCTTCGGTCCCGACGAGACTTCGTGAGTCTCTACGGGTGATTGTGTTGCAGCCGACGTAAGGGCATCACGGCCGCATATTCTTCGTTAGACGGTAGCAGATAGCACCGTCACGGCCCATCCCAGATGCCTTTAATGTCTGTGGGACACATGCAAGCGAACGATTCGGGTGAGCCATTTTTTATAGCAGTTAGTTAAAAGCTCTACGGCTTCATGATCACAGGTGCTATTGGTGCCGACCGTTTGGTCATGTATACATACCTGGAATGCTGATAGCTTCTCTTTTGCGTAAACCATTTGGATTGCTCATGAAAACGATGCATGAACAGCGTCATGTGAAGACCTGTGTCGCGGACGAATCGGCGACACGAATTCGGACGCCGAGAATCATGCTCGGCTTCAATGTCACATGCCAATTCTACATTCGCGAAGCAATCGCGAATCACTTACTTACCATATGACATCTGTGAATTTTGGTTTCTCCGTATGCAGTGCATACATATAGAGCACATATACATATGTGCTCTGTGCATTCAGCCGACACGTTCCACCGTAGGAATCATTTGGAAAACGCCGCACATAGGTTATCTGTTTGTCGTATTATTATCACACAGATTCCGCCAGGACGTTCGGGTACTGCGTCACAATGACCCAAGTTCGTCTTTTACCCCATGGTCACCAGCGGGTGAACTGTGCACCCACAATCCGTGATGGACCACTTGTGCCATGTGGTCGACAGTCATCTGAAGTCGCTCGAAAAAGCTGTGCACCAATAAGGCGGTCTCGAGCATGTCATACAGAAGTGTCCTGACGCCCTGCGCTTCACGTGCAAGAATACGACATGTGTACACCATACCACTATGACCGAGGGGAGATCCAGGAGGGCGATGGTTACGTTCTAAATGTGACTTGCCGAATGACTGCGTATGCATCTTCCCCGTAGGTAGTTGTGACATGACCCCTGTCTCGAGTAGCCTGCAGAAAAACGCGTTGGCATAGATATTTTAACTAGTAAGTGACGACCTGGAAAACACCATATTTTTTTAAAAAGCTGCTCGCATTCTTTGGGTACAGATCAGTGGGAACAGCGTTCTGAAAAAGCAACATACAATTGCTGGCTGCCGTGATTACCCTAGTTAGCCGGTAGTGGTGGCGCGAAGGCGCACTCTCACTCATCTCTGTTTGCACTATCAATTAGTGAGTTATTATTGCGATTGAGTTTATGCTTTTAAATGCATTTGCTATGTACATATTGTGAAGACCGGTCACAACATAGGCATTGATTTAACTGTTGTTTTGAATGCTGGTTTTCATTATGTTTCTCCGAAATTTGTGCTTATAATGTCCACAGCTACCATATGCTCCCGCTGCCGGTCGTTAGGTCGGCTAGAGAAAGAAGTGAATGACTAAATTATGCCAGTTTTAGCTTGCTAGTAGCCCGTATGCTCGAAGTTGAGTGAATTCATTCCCGTCCTGATGTTTAACTTCCTGAGCATCTTCCCCCAATGCCCATAGATTCTGTCCAACTCTTTTCAGCACTGCGGACGGAACTTATTTATATGTAGCAGCCGTTTGAACATACGGCTTATGCTAAGGAACTGGGTCATATTCGGTGGGGACGCACACATGAGTCATACATCCGATTTAACCTTACCATTCGGGTGACAATGTTATATTTCCCCTTATCGCAAACGTTCGCACGTCTCCACTTCCGTTTATAACCTCCATGGCTGATGCTACCAACTCATCTATTCAGGGCCAATTAACACCACCAATATTTATTGGCTACCGGTTAATTATGTAATGATTTTTCCCAGTAGTTTTGTGCCAAATGACACCGTTACTACGTCAACATATCACTGGTCAATATCTCTGACCATGCAATTTTCCTTAAGCCCCCTCCATTATTTCGTTGTCAGCCGTGTTCTCAATGTACCGACCTGACCACACTGTAGTCCATTGGATGTCGGAGAAAACCGTCATTACTACAAAGACTACAAATACCAACATCCCGCTACCGCGGTGAAAGGAAAACTAGATGGTTCATCTGCCCTCCAGTTGTGTAGGCTACTTCAAATGCTGATGGTTGCTTTTCTCGCAGTGAACAAAGTTTCTGAAAAACCTTGCCAGCCAAGAGGAGTTTAGTTTGTGTCGGGCTGACGTACCTTCTTATCACTGTACCCCTTTCAGTACGTTGCCACCAGGCTTAAAACGTTGGACACTAGGAAAAGGAGCCAACAGACACGGCGGACACGTCCCTCACTGAATTAAATTTCCTGAACAAGTTTTGAAGCGGTCAGCATTTTTGGCGGCCAAGCTTCTCATTAATTTAAAACGCCCCCCAACATGGACCTAAGAGTCACCGTACTCAAGAATTTGAACCACTCTTGGTTCGTGACACACCTCCAGGTTGGCACTGTGTACTGTGCTTAGGCAGACACTATCATTAAAGGTACTCTTGGCTAGCTCATTTGTGGTAGTTGGCATCACTTTTGCGAAGAAATAGTTTTCAATGCGCAGTGGCCTTTTAACTTTGAAATGATAAAAGATGTGTCTGGATGTTTGCGGCGAAATCACGCAAGATAATAGCGCGACCGATTTCGCACAGCATCATTTAAACAGTTAAGCAAGGACATACTTCCGGGCTAACTGTGCAGAAAAACATACCTACATGTAGCTCATTGCTCGAACCAAACCATGTTTTGAACCAAGAGTAAATGAATAGTGGTAACAGTATATCCCCTCCAGTACGAACTAGGGCTGGCCACAAGCGCTTTATCTCACCCTACTGTTGACAAGCGTACAGGTCGACTGACACTTGCGAGTGCAGTGCACAACCAAACTGATGGATATCAGTCACAATGGACACTGTAGCCAGCCAATTTGCTCGGGGAACATCGGCATTTAAAAAGAAGGAACAAATCAAGCTTCCTGTGGATGGGCTCTCAAGTTCGTAATTCTATCAAGTATCTCAGTCTGAAGATGCCTTCAAAGTATACTGTGACACGGTGAGATGTTTTAAGGTGTGTCTGAACTACAGTGGTTCGCGGATATATTGAGGTATCCATCGTGTACGGCTGAATCTAAATGATTGAAAAGATTAACAGACATTCTGATGCAAAGATATACCCCCGATACAGAGCTACGTATTCCTTGCAAAAATAGTATGAACTTGACCAATAAAAACGTGCATGATCGGTTCGACCAGGCTTCGACGAGTGACTGCGAGATTACCCACACTTGGGTGGAAAATTTGCACGATATTATGGGCGAATAAAATTCGGCCCCCGAAGGCACTGCTGATGAGCAACTGGGCGTTTATAGTAACCTGGACTAGCTGCCTTTCACAGCTTCATTTCTTTTTGTGAATAGACTTAAAGATCTATGACTATAAGGCGCTAAAATATCCGTATAAGCTCCATTAGCGGTGGTGAAACGATGGCAGACCGTAAACTAACTAAGCTTTCCAAGAGGATGTGACTAATGGTTGCGTTGTGGTCCATTTTGAAACATTGTTCTGGATCGAGGTCATTTTGCAACTAACATCGAGCACATGTCCGGTAGCCAATTTGAAGGTTCACTTCAGCGGATTCCACTTCCACTTCCATTTCACCCTACTTGGGATGTGAAAAATTCAGTCCTTTCAAAACTTATTGTTCAAATTTTGCAATTCAGTCTGAAACGAACGACTATTGAGTCCAACCCAACACGACAATTCCCTCATTAATTGCTCGCTCCGACCAAGTTCCTTTGACCTCCGCCTGTCTTGCTCATCCCTATCCACCATTCACCTTGCAACAATGACCGCCTCGTCAAGCACTAGTATTTAAGCATGCGTGTGAATATGCGCAGCTGACCCAGTTGTCCNCCTACCCTGAATGTTCTGCGGTGATTTCCAAATGATCGAACAGCCAATCAGAATCACCAGACCTCTTTGGAATGGGCGACCGCAACTCACACTATCAAGCCAATATTCCGCTCGCCATTGTTTGGTATATGGACGTTGACACCCTACTGTGCAGATCAGTGACAGATGTGCGCACTTGCTGACCACGAATGTGGACATTTGAGACTCGTCATACGATTTCGTTAACCTCTGTGTAAATAGTGCAGTAAATTTTCAAACCCGATCCTTCACTTGGATGTTGGGGATTCGAAATTTCGTATTGGGAGACTCAACAAGAGTGCCACGCAAGATCGATTAGAGCGAAACCCGTATGAGCCGACTGAGATGTCAGACAAACTGGTCAACCTGAGTGAATGTCACTAACGGTGGTCTAGCTGAAGACGTCCCGACCCAGGTCTGGAAAACCAGAGTGGCTTTTACCAATATGCAGTTTGGACATCAGCTTGTCTATCAAGGTGGTAATGGGGTCAGAAGCCCGGTTAATATTTGTGGGGACATTAAATAAACTATCGGCGTTTGACCAGTAGCTTCGACGCATTGCTGGTTTCTGATGAGAATATAGCACCACATTAGTGGTGCTATACGTTGGTTTTCGGAGGAGATCATCTCCCAAAAGTAGTAGACTGATCACACTCTACATGTTGCGCCAGCCTGATTACGCACTTCTTACGTCAGTTGGCCGAATTCCCTGAGAGGCCCCTTCTACACAACCATGCGGAGGGTGAAAACGAGACGAGCGAAGACTTGGCAATAAAATAGGAAATTCATTAGCAGTAACCCGTGTGCTGGTCATTGCTGTCTCCCTGAGTGGGGACCACGAGAGGGACATAGCAACGGTTAAAGGCATTGAAACACATGACCCAATAACGTGCATGCGTCCAAATGGTTGCTTTCAGTGCATAGTTCTCCCTCCCAATATCCCCGAAAAGCGCAGTTTCTTCTGATTTCCCACATAATCTATATCAACTTCTGCCTTCAGCGCTAGCTATCCGCTTTCATCTTTTCAGCTCATCGACGAAATAAATTGTGACCGCCATAATTGCTGTATGATATGCACACGGTTTGTACCTAAAGATGACGAGAGCTCGCCAGCGACACCCGAAGCAGTTTACTCCGTTTCGTCAGGTGCATATTTTGTCCTGGAACTACAGGAAAAAGTTACTCACTGTCTTGATTAAAGGGCACCACAAGTCAGTTTAGGGCTTCCTTCGTCAGCTTCAAGTTCGATTATTTCGTTAGTAGTTCAACCAGTCCTTTATTCAAAAAGAGCGACAAATTACTCCTCCCCATTGTCTTCAAGTTCTGAAGCCCCATGAACGAAAACATGGGCAAGATGCACATCTCAACCACTCTTCTCCTGCCTCTAGTATCCCGATGGATCGGGATCACGAGGTTGCCCTTCGGTGTGCTATACATGCCCTTCACCTATTCCCGTAAACTCGACGTTCGAATAATTCGCTGGGCTTGTCGATTTTGTTCTGCGCGTTTCATCGAAGTGATGCGTCGGTGGTATGCATGGGTCCTTGTATGCACTTCAATGGGGGTTGCTCGAGTGAACAATCCACCCCGGGTATCTCGCCCATTCGAATACATACCGATGCAACGCTCAGCCGTACCATGTAACAACTCACTGATGATGTCACCTCAACTGGGGATGATATGTCCGTAACAAAATTACCAAGATCAGAGACGAATTCGGTAACGAACTGTCAAACGTTTTTCATAGACCTAATGAACGACCGTTCTTGCTGCCGTTGGAATAGGTGAGATTTAAGATGGTATCAAGTCACTTCTTCCTTTCAAAACAAGTAGCACTGGTACACGCGCTCGGTAGGACAGACGAAAACTGATTCATCAAATAGACGGAAGGCAAGGTACAATGGAAGAACCTTTTATAAAAGTGTTTGACTCATGATGGCGCTATTGCGAGATTAGAATGTAACTATGAAGAAACCAGAGTTGTGGCACTTTGAAACAATACTGAATTTCAAGTTAAAACTTGCTAATTGAACAACACGCAAAACCAGTAATGAGGAGATCGATTACTAAAAATCTGAAAACAGCCCACTACTGGATTTGTTTGGTTTGGGACGGGCCTGGTTTCCGTCATGAGTGGTAATCAATCCCTGAATTGAACACCAATTTGGCTGAAAGCTTACTTTTGGGCTCATACGCGTGATAAAACTGCTGGAGCATGAGACGCGGCGGGTTTCACTGAAGTCAATAACAAACTGATACTGTTTTCGCACGGTGTGCACATCATACAGGCCGCCTGGAGGTTCCACTCAACAAGGAAACTCCATTTCCAGTAAATCCCAGCTCGGATGCTAGGAGAATGATTTTTTTATGCTGGGGACGTTTCTGATGAGTGTGATTCGCACGTCATTCGAAGCGGGGTCCGGGTTAACAGAGTGATGTGAGATCACTTACAACTTACGCGCACAATAAGCCTCCAAGTAAAATTCTCCGGGTAAAAACGAACACGTCATTTTCGGAGGTAAAGAAAATAATTACAGGGTTACATTTCCCTCAGAGGGAAGGACCACAGAGAAAGACGGTTTTCAGAAGGGAGTCTTGTCAAACGTCCATAAAGCGGTAGGGATTCGGAAGGAGTGGTTGAACCGGTTTCGTTGCCTAATAACGAAGCTTCATCATCGGTAAGATTAGCCTCTTCAACGTCGGTGTCCGATGAGCTATCAGACCCAGAAGAAGTTCCGGCTGCTCTCTGATTCTTATTTGTACTAGCCGTATACCAAGGAGGTCGAATGCGACGTTGTCCAGCAGTCGTAGCCACCACGGGAAGAAAGGGGTGAATACTAAGACCATGGGCGCAATCGGAATGGGCTCGCCAGACCAAGGAAGGCTTATGAAATTCATCTGTTTCTGAATGCTTCAGACACTCGACCAAATCATAGACACACACCACTCCCGTTTGCGAACCAGTGAAAAGGTACTGGCCAGTGCTGAAATAAAAGAGAAAGCTGGGTTGGACCGGCAGTGTCAAGGGATCCAAAAGAGTCCAGAAGCATATAAAAAAAACAGACAGGCTGGCCCATTTGTGGCACACTTAAAAAGGAACTATGAACCGGCACGGATAAGTACGTGACTGCAGTCAAACCAAGTCGGATTCACATATAGGCTCTTATGGACAGGCGAATTCCGTCCAGAACTTCTTTGGAAATTACAGCCAAACACAAACATGAGCCAAGAAACAAGGTAGACGCAAGCAAAACGAAAGATTGCATCACGCAGAGTACGTAAGGATTGAGTTAGTTGACTTGGAGGGGGACAACACACGTCATATACAGACGAAGCAGTAATGTGGCAGACATCATACTATACTAGTAAGGTTTTGTTTAACTACTAAGCAGAAATGATGGAACCTTTCGCTGAACAACATTTCAGTGTGACACCCACAGTCATGGATTCACGGAGAAATTTTACAAAACGTAAAGTTAGTACGAACTCACGGGTCTAGATCGAACTGAAACCGCTGGTGATTTTCGACGCGCCTGTGTAGAACAAGTAGCGGATTAGACAGTCGTCTAGCATCCCAGAGGAATATCCGAGAGTCCATTCGACATCCGGCAGCCAAATACCAGGGAGCTCCTGATTCCTTAGCAAATCGGTTACCCAGTAACACTTGTGTCACACCAGTTCGGCTGCCTGACACGCGACCAATCAAATGGCCTGGTTCTGCGAACATCGTCACAGTACCATTGTAAGAACCCGTGGCGTAGAGCTGGCGTTCTGGAGTGCGCGGCACAGCGATGCATGAGATGATGCCACCTTGAAGCGACTTTTCTGGGGATAAATATAAAGGTCGTTCGCTGAAAAAATGCGCACTGTAAAATAGCGAAACCTTCGGGACGGACATGACAGAAAACCTAAGACTGTAGACGCGAAATGAACCGACGACCGAGTAACGTGAGATACCTTATGAGGAAGTACAACGAACATGGACCACAATTATGGGCTTATTAGTTAGGGACCCAATGAGAGTTCCAAGTAGAAGCGGTAATAATGCGGCACACAACCGAAGGTGAGATGCGTCGTGGTTAGGCAAGACTGTACAAGGTTCACCACGTACGAGACTATAGAGCAGCTGAAGAACTGAAGTGACGGGGCATCAGGAACTCAGTTCCTGAACTAACTGAGCACATGCCAATGCATTGCTGCGACAGCTGTGCTTAAACTGGGCACGACAGTCCACCGAAAAGGCACCGGAGGGGTTGCCAAAAGGTCAATGAAAAGACGGTGAATGGGTGCGTAGATTCATCGAGAGACTTGTTGCACACCCTCCGTAGCAGGTGGATATGTCCGTACCTCACGTGTCCTTACGGTATGTATGGCCATGCAATCGGTATGCGTCCCTGGGTTCTGCTGCTGGAACTGGAATCCATGAGCGATACGCATCTTCGGACTATACCTCTGGTAGATCGGTGTCTGATAGGATCCTTGGTGTGCCATTCATGGTAGCAAGAAGACCCGCTCGCTGTTCCAGTAATTAATACACCTTGTCGGAATTAAACGACATACAAGCAACTTGTACGATACTGGCACTCTTCGTTTGATGACATGCCACCGACAGGTAGTCCGTAAACTATTTTCGCCGCGTTTAAATTCACGTCGTCTGTGGTTCTTTAGGGTCAGAAACAGACTTGGTTCAGTGGTACCCAGAAATAAATCAAACAAAATCTCTGCAAAATAGGTCGCGTTAATTGCTGGGAGCATTGTACAGTAGGATTTTTTTTGGGAGAAACAAGATGAAAGTTTCCTTAGTGGGAACCCCGACGTTATCGCAGTAGACCTTTTGGTGGTATCGTCGAAAAATTGCACCTGCTCATTGAACTGCAATTACGAGACCCGCAACAAGTAGGCCAAGCTCTTCGAATGCTTCCAAGATAAACTACGCTCAACTATCGCCCACAGGGATGGACGAAAAAACGCCATAGTACTCAAAGTGTGGCTGCGGTTGTACTCTTCTGTATTGGAAATTAATCAGACCACTCAATGTAAGATATATGGTAAGGAATGAGGCGTCTTCTGTGCGAAGATTGTGTTTGTCTCAGCAGCAGATAACTACCAGACCCCCACAAATTGTGGTAGATTGTTAGGCACCTGGTAGATGAGGCGAAAGGTTCAGTCATGCGTGACGGACTGCGGTAGGGTACAGAACGACAGCACTAGGGCTGGATCCGGGCAGTTCCCACGAGTGAGATAGCAGAGCCAGTGTTCACGTGTCAGCTGAGCATTTCATTGGACGACCAACATGCGACGATTAGAACCAGCATTTGTAAGGGTACGCAGTTGGACGATCGATAGTATTTTGAATGTGAAGAACGGAAACGCAAAGGTTATCCTCCAAAACTGCAGATTCAACACAGTGACTTAGTCTATTGGAAATCAGTCCAGTTGCCGTTTCTCCCCTATAGGTAATGTTGACTGGTGCGTCTCCTGGACGGTAGTTCAACTCCTACGTCGGTCCCCGGATTTCTGTTCCACCCACCGTGTTGTATCGAAGGATACGGTAGCTTGAGGCAGCCTTCCGTGGGATCCAGGGAGAATTATTACGACCGTATTTATGGTTAAAAAACAGGATTTTCCACAAGCTCACGCTAGAATCTTTGTGATGAGACGAGAAGCGCCGAGATATAAATGTTCGACCCTGATTGACTGACATCGTGATCAATCAGAAGACGTCTTCGTTGGCTCCGTAGCCCGCTAGTGAAATCCTACCAATCCATGTAATGTTCGGTTATGTAGAGTGGATCGCTTCTGGACACCCTCTCAAGCACGCCGTTCATCCGTTGCTGTGATCTGACCTGTGACAGTTTAGGGAGGTGCCATCAAATGTCAGTCTGCTCTGGGGTAGTGGGCTTACTGAACCGGAATCTGTTGCGGATGGTTCAGGCCTTACTATCGAATTCAGAGGTATATCATGCGACAAGGTTCTATTGTGGGGACACAAGCTGCTACCTAAATTCAGAGGTATATCATGGTTGTCGGGTGTTCCGTGCGACAACGTTCTATTGTGGGGACACAAGCTGCTACCTGACGCATTCATTCCAGAGATATGACATGTACCGCGTGTTTGACATGGTATTCGACCTCGCATCCACCGCAGATCACACCCACGGTATCCTCGAATCACCATCCGGCCTTCAGATGATTGCTATGATGCCTTTTCTGTCTGTCCCTCCTCCTTGGTTTTCTGCACAGCAGTGGAACACTCTACATTCTCACGGGGCTGTGTACTGAACGGTTGGAACCGCGAGTACCATGTTGTAGACTGTCGGTAGGATACGTTGAAACTGACTGAAATGAGAAGGCTACCGGTGTCGGACGTAACCAGCTAAACAGCAACTGTGACGCGTATGTACCAACTGGTCTCCAGTTTGACTACAACTGTGGCAACCGAAAAATCGTCAAGATGCGGCGTTCCCGTGGACATATTGCCATCACATGCAGTCGTCTCGTTACAGACACCAATGAGGGGTTTCCCCAAGAGTTGAAGTTTATCAAACCAATCCATGCGAAGGAAATCGAGGCCTGTATAAGCATCATTGTTGGGTGACTTAAAGCGGCTCGAACCCGGACATTGGCAGAGTCGCTTCATGGGTAGCGAATAAAGCAATATGAATACCCAATAGGAGGAATTCTTCTAAGCTTTTCAGGGGACGGATAGTGTTTGAGGATAGATGACCAAGAAAAATTTCGATCAACGATGTTAGACATCCGATGCTTGTTTTTATGCGCAAATGCATTAGCGACCAAGCCTTGAAACTTCTTGTCGAACGCAGATAAAAACACGGCTAAGGGACAAAACCCTCGTGCAAATTCATGTTGATATAATCGCTTAGAACTCTGGACAGTTAGCAAGGTCTCGCCATCCATTGGCAGCGAAAGACGTGGGCTATTTACCCATATCTTTCAGTTTTCATCCACGCTTTTTTACTATCTGTAATGTTGATACATTGGCTATTCTGGATCTTCGTCTGATACAACACATAAAATATAAATAGCCATTTTAAGGACTTCTATTCCCAAAACCGATGAGAGGTGTGTGCAGAAATACCATTCTAGAATCCAAAGATTTCCATCAATGGTTTACAGTTAGCTAGAACGATGAACTTCGAGCATAGGCCACTCAATTGGACAGGTTGATAACAGATGTCAAATTGAATGCCTCCTTTGCTATCTGAGTAGTTTTGTTTCCTCTTTTGAGACGACATGAAGTGCAGTAGGCCTAGTAACAAGATTTCCATAACCGTGTCGGATGACTGCAGTTACTCCAAAAGTTGATATCACCAAGTGCTCTGTGAGATTCTTAGGTGCCAAAATTGTTTAACGGATCTTCGATAGATTAAAATGATTCCTCACATGCTAAAGACGAGATCCACTGCTTGACAGGAGCTCTTTCCATGGGACATGTTGTTTGTGCGTAGTAGGAGTAGGTAATCGATAGTAGACAATCGTACCAAGGAGTTATGGCATTGTATCGACGTTATTTGATTGTGGAGTTCATTTTATGATTGGGATCTTTCCGGCTTCGGGATGTCGCCTGTCACTGTCTATCATACAACCTAAAAACCTCAGCCGGGCTAGGAATAGTTCACGCTTCTCAACGAGCAGCGTGAATTCGTAGTCTATCAAACACGAGGATAACTACTGGATAACACATCTATAGTTTAGGGAAATTACACATTCTAAATAGATGTGATCAGTCCTATGCGTTTGATTGTTAAGCGGAACAAATCACGTCCTACTCAAACAGTATAGTTGATGGAAATAGAAGCCACCATGTTCAGAGAGCACTTGCAGCTAATCGAACGATCGATTGAACGACCAATCGTGGTCGAATGGTTTCGTTCTGAACTATTGGTCGAAGTGCACACTGCCGGTGATTCCCAACAGCTGTACATTGCTTCTCGGCTCCAACATCAAGTTGATTCGCAAATTAGTACAAACCTCTACTTGGTGCAGGAATAACAAATAAGACTGACACAAGGTGAGGGACCAGACCTGTTTGGTAAATCCCAGGAAGGGAAAACTGGCTGTGGGCCGTGAGTGTTACAGTGTTCTGTCAAAAGGGAACTACTCACAAGGTTGCTGAAAACTCTTCGACAGCCCACGACCGGTTTCACCCTTCTTGGGGCTCATCAGGTAGGCGCAGTCCCCGAGTTTCCGTCAACCTTATGTTCTACTTGAACCCAAATAGGATTCAAAATATACTGCGACACCTCGAATATCGTGCCAACTGAATCATGAGGCGGCCTGTGTGCAGCACATTCAATTGTAAAATATCATAAACGAAAGATTCAGTTGAGTCTCTCGTGAAAACCAAATTGATTTGCAACTGAGTGTAATTCTCGAGACAAGTGTTCTGTCAAATTTGTCCCCCGTGTCATTGATCTCGGATTACCACCCAATGATGCACGTTTTTTCACTACGTTTACTACACCCAAAACTAATAGTGCATTGATGACTGATTAGAGTGAAACGCACCGACTGTCGCGTTCTCTGATGGAGTCAACTTAACGCCGACGAGAACAGTGCGAAAAGCCAAACGTTCTAGGTACGTGGTGCAGACAGACCAAACAAGAAGTTAAACTTACGACCAAGTTTTGGCCGCCTTACGGAGTCACGACCTGGCCGAGACACATCGAAAACGTGCATGAAACGATTGAATCCGGCATACAACCGTTGACCGTCCGCTGAGAATGCAACAGAGTATGCCGAAATCGCATCACCCTTGGGAGATGAAAAACAATCGGCAGAAAAAAAGTGTTACTTGTCAAAGTTTTTGATGTACGAACGTGAAAAATCGGTACAAAGGCGGTCGTACACGATACCAAAATTATCTTCGAGGTATCACACCACCACATTGTTTTCTAATAACAGTTTCTCCCTACACAATGGCTAGTACATAAAATCCAGCTTTTCTGGTCCATAATACATGGTAGCTGTTAAGGACGCCGCGCACATAAAAAACCTTGTGTGGTGAAGATAGAGCTGGAGAAAATGGAAGAGTTCAGTGCGTTACATACAACATGCGGAAGTATACAAACCAATATGTTCGTGTAATGAGAACATCCAGGAGCACGACCGTAAAAATACGAGTAATCATCTAACCAGCCGGTAAATCTCTGGTGCGGAGGATGGATGCACGAACTAGGTGTCGCTGTGCAGTAGTTTTGCGGTCACCTGGGTCTACCCGTAGTTTTGTTGCAATGCGAAGGATACCCATGAGTCTTCGCTTAATGCAGGCATAATTGAAGGTCAGGCCTCCATTACAGCAGTAAGGCATCAGTGTCAACACCCATGTTGCTGTTTCTGATGACGATATACAACGGGAAGAAGGGCTAGGGATATACATGTAGATGGTGTCGCCACAGAAATTTTAACTCACAGGGAGCACACCATGGAACATTCAATATCGCGACGTTTCGCCTGTGTAGTTATACAAACATCGAAATCGAAATCGTTCAGCTGTAACACCCTTTCGGTGCCTAGCTGCCACGCCACACGAAGGAAGCACCAGGGCTGGGATACTGTCAGGTTGCCCAAGCCTAGACAGGAGAAGTCGAGAGGCAGAGGTCGGGTTCGAGCCATGGACCTTCCGGTCAGTAAATTCGCACTTTAACCACTTGGTCCATCTCGCCCCCACAAACATTCGGCTTCCAAACATACATTTGCTACTTTTATACAATCCGTCTGAAGGTACCAGCGAAAGTGATCTTGTCTTAAAGGGACAGTGGGGTTCAAAACAAGGGACCAACCGGAATTAGTTGATCCTGATGGATAATCTCTCCTGAGAGTAGTACCTACAAGAGGTGGAAATTGAAGTACAAATTTATGTCAAAGCTCATTCGAGAATGAGGGTACAACTTTACACTTCCTTTCAGAGAACATAACTTGACTGAATCCGTACCGAATGCATATACAGGGTGTCTCATAATGGACGCAAAAAATAATACCCATGTTAAAACTTTAACACCAATTCAAACATTTATCATTTTTATGTGGACATACATGCATCATAGAGGTTTACTGTGAACAAACTGGCATTACAAAAGATGTTGAAAGAAAACGCCACTTTCTTCTATAACAAGTCGGAGGCGATATGAGATGTGAGACACAGCATGTCTAACTTCTTCAAGCGTCACTCGTGCACACTCCTCTTCAATTCTTGCTCTTAACTGTACCAAATTCTTCGATTTATTTTCATGATATACGCGAGCCTTGATCATTTCCCGAAACCAATAACCCAGAGGTATGAGATCGGGTGACCTTGCGGGCCAGAAGTTTGGAAATCCACAAGCAATGACTCTCCTATCATAGAATGCTCTCGGAGGTAGTAGTGGGGTGGAGCGCCATCTTGTTAAAAGACGGTCGATGACTTCTTGTGCTGCTTGAGTTGCGGGATGACATGCGTCTGCAGCATATGAAGGTAAGTGTCGCCGGAAACCGTAGCATCAAAAAAAGGGACGCAGGAGACACTTTGAGGAGAGTCCCATCTACACAGAGAGATGAGGGGAGTGGAGATTATGGGTGAGGTACTCGTGAAGAGCTTCAAGGAACCATATCACGCAACTGTGCTTGTTGGTTATGCCATCCACGTAAAATTTGCTTCATCGCACCAAAAAATGTTGGGAACGATTTCTTCATTGTCCACTAGTAAGTTAGCGAACGTGACACGTTGCTCCTTGTCTTCTTCCGTGTAATAAAGTGAAATGATACGGGTAGAGATGAAGGTGGCATCTCATAATACGATGCACGCTGGCGTGGGGAATGCCGGTCAACTGAGACATCTGAGTTATTGACGAAGATGCCACGGCGCTCTGGGACTGAAGTTGCTCGACGGCATTCTGTACGAAAATCCAATACAGATCCAGTGGACTCAAATTTCGCAATCAAGAGCGTAAGGGTCGACGCGGTGAAAGGATCTTTGATGAGACTATGTTTGGTATCGTAACCACGAAGTGCAGCGGCGGCGCTTTCATTAAGGGAATAATAGAGTTTCACAATCTCAATCGTAGATAGAAAAATGCCAACACTTGCACACGAAGCCTCCTTTATGTGGCTATTAATAATGAAGGATTTTGTTCCTTCATCTGATTAGCTACGTATGGTCACCCAGTCAAATTTTGGGTCTATTATGAGACACCCTACAGTACATTCTACTGTCCCTCTCTGATCAAGCGATACTAGACTCAGATCATTGTCTGAAAGCTGATGGTAAGGGGAACAAATGCTGTTCAGTCAAGGAAAACAGAGAAAATACCAAGGAGAACGTCTTCGTACAGGTTAAACAAGGATGCATTTCCGAGGTTCAGGAGGTGGTACTGAAAACGAAGACGACAATTAATTGTTTGAAACACAGAATTCCTAGACTGAAAGACACTACACCTACCATATGATTGATGGGTCTGTACATGGCACGAACGGTCCCAGTGAAGGCATCCCATAATCGAATGGGATTTCGGCGTGCCGTGCTGGCAAGACTGGTAAAACAATCAGAAATCAGAGAGAGATTAGATCAACAAGGGGGTTGTTAAAAAACATCAAGTTCCCAATCTGAGAGGCATAAGATGAGTTCTCTCCTCTTACGAAAACTTCTTCCGCGCGCAATAAGTGGTTTTCAGAACGAATTGAGTCATTACCTGGTGTGTCTCTACATTTTCAGGGATGATCCATAATGAGAGGCAGTCGGACTGAATGAAAAGTTGAAGAAAACTAGATGCGAAGCCAAGAAGATCTGAGGTATGGGTGGTAACCTGAATTTGAAGACAAGCGCTGGACACTAGCCGAGACACTTAAGTTTCAGTAAAAAGAACAGTTTTACTGTGGCTGTGAGACTTCAAGGGTCAAGAAAGTCACAGATTACCCATTTCTAGGCAGATGCAATCGGAAAACCAAGGTCGATTGCGACGCATCGGCCTTCCGGTGAATTGTCCCGCACCTTAACCACTGAGCTAAGTCGCGTTGTACCTTACCTCTGTGACATAAAAAATGAATAGAATTGGCAAACGTGGTTCGAGCCTCGTACTGCCTACACTGACTTCATCAGACACAATACTGCCAGAGCTAATACAACTACCGGGTTAGGCGAACTTGTCCAAATTCCATGGCTTCTCCTCAAATCGCATGACTTTGTGTTGTAGGCGTAACGTTCAAAGATTAGGACCAAGCCGGTAAGGTTCTCAGCAGCGACGATGTGAACACGGGACTTTTGAAAACCCCTCAGCGTTCACCCCATTATGGTATCAATGACGAAATTAAGAAGAAATGGAGAGGGCGCACACACTCACCGGCCATCATTATTTGTAATGAAGGGCTTTCCGTAGGAACGCCCGAAAATATGCGACCACAAGAAACGGATCGCGTCAACGCACTATGGAAGCACCATCTGCTGAGCAGGGGTGGTTAGAAACGCTGGAGCATCGACAGAATCGAACACCAGACGAAATGTGAAGATGTGGTTCACGTATCTTCTAAGCTGACATGTTAGTTTGAATTCCGGGTGCATGATCACAATATCTAAGCGCGGTGCACGTGTATACTGGGTAAACCCGAATGACGCAGTAAAACATCGCAATGGACAAGTGTATGACCGAATTCTACATAGGTACACCGGAAAGCACAGCATGCAGTAACCAAGCCTTGCCACTAGTAATGGCAATGTGACCTAGTTGAGTTCAGGGGTTGATTCGTTTGTGGACATCATGTATTCGAACGAATTCCGCTGTCCATAAGTCGGTAATGCAAAGGAGTTGTCTATTCCTTCTGTAAACCAAAGACAACCAGCGGTTGTTTTTATTTGTTCGACTGTTCATGAGTAGCATGATCTATGCATGTTTATTATAACGTTGTTTTGCTCGCACCTAAGGTCTACTTAGTTTCGAGATCTTGTTGCCTGTCTGTTTTCGTTTGCAACTTCATGCCGCAACTCTTCCACTCTTCGAGTGTCTGCTCCGACGCCAGAGCAGGTGGATAGAACCCAGAAGCCCCTCGGATGGTAGACAAGTGCGTTATCCGTCAAGCCAAATTGGTTTCCGCGGACGCCCTGGTTTTCCATTACGTTCGTATTGAACCTCACCTGACAGCGTTTTTGAGATTTTGTTTTAAACGGGCCTAAGAAGGCATTCCGATTTGCCACGTTCTGCTTTGTCAAGCTGTCAGCTATGGACAGTTTCCGTTACCTGCCGGACGTACTGACTGTGTTCTGCGCCGTTATCTCCGTATACGGCCTACTTACACTGACTACCCGTATCCACCACCTCGTTTTACCTTTTTCAACCCCTACTGAATGTCCTCTTACTAATCAAAATTTCTCAGTACAGCATCTGCTGCCCTCATCCGTCAATCCCTGCTGCTTACTGAATCCAAATTGCGTGGAGTCCGGTAGCTCCAATCGTCCTGTATGATCCTTAGCAGCCCTGATCTTACAGAAACAGTATGTGCTCAGCACACGACTGCAGCAAACGTTTTCTGTTGTCGGCTCGTATTGCGCCTAATACAAAACGACCACCCAACTGGACCTCAGGAGCGCTAAGCATGCCTTTCTAGGCGTTCATGTCCCAGCGGCCAGAATGTTGCCTGAGTTTTTATCCCGGTGGAAAATAGGTTGAGCTATCTTTGGAAGATTCGGAGCTACCGTCCGTTGGGACATAAGCCGATGAAGATCTCTTTCTCGAGATTGTCTCAAAGATGCTGCCAAACGAGTCACCGAGGCGCTCGGCGACACGAGTGGTGGCACTACGCGACGGCCGATGTGACAGGACAGCATTCGTGGGGTTCATGGTTCTACGCCGGGATACTATCAAGGTGCCTACACTTGAACCAAAAGGGATTAGGGCAACAACCAAAACATTTGGATCAAAAGCTTGACCACGAAACGACAAATGGGTGTCAGCATACTAACATGGCAGTACAGGGTTTTATAGGTTGCCGTCATTGTCCCAACGCACAACTCGGAGGACCATGGGATTGCTTATCAAAGCTGCAGCTATTGACCTGGTATGATAAACTCCCTGGATGTCAAAGTAAACCATTCCCCCGTATAGTCCCGTATATTTATAATTCCCCGTATAGGTGCACGAACCGCTACACCCCGATGAGATCCAGTCTCTTCGAAGTGGCTTCTCTAAAGAATTTAGATTGGCAGCCATGCCTACATCTGTCTCACTTTCCTGGTATTCAGCCGACAACGGACAACATCAGGTTGTGAAAAAGCTGCACACACAAGGTGATTGAGTGTTCTGTACTTTGCGACCCGGTAAAGCTCATGAGAACGACAATCACCGAAAAAAGGTTCGCATCCTATCTCCTGGGACGGTTTATTCTGAACACTTGCGTTTTATCAGTGTATAGGCACAAGCTCATGAGACAATCACCGAAAAAAGGTTCGCATCCTATCTCCTGGGACGGTTTATTCTGAACACTTGCGTTTTATCAGTGTATAGGCAGGCATAGCGGGCGACGGTTAACCCATCTGGTTTTCGGTCCACTCCGGCATGCTATATATATATATATATATATATATATATATATAAACGTTACTCACTGTGTGAATTACGTGTACCATAAGTGTGATAAGTGTTGAGTGAAGAGAACAGCGTTCATCAGATTTTTTTCGATTGTTCATGCCATTAACGATCTACATGGACAGGTCACTC